CCGAGGCAATACATTCATGTGACTCAATGCGTACAACTGCCAAATTCTTTTTTGAACTGTTAAATGTTATTCTTTGCAAAAAACTGTCGTCACAAATCTTTGCAGTGTGCAATTAATTTCTTTATGCTCTTGTGGCAATATAGTGCAAGTAGAATTATTATACTTGTGTTGAAGAATAAACAAATTTATCTAAGTTAAATGAAACAACTTTTTACAAAACGTAAATGAAATAGAAGCTGAGACACCTTGGCTTCTTCAATCAGTCAGTAGGGATAGTTAAAGTTGTAAGAAAACAATCCAGTGCAATAGGTTATTGTTGATTTGTCTTATTAAACAAAATGAAGAACATTCCTTCACAAAGGAAGACCTATGGCTATTAAAGTTATACAAGTCTAGTTTTGCTCCTATACTATGAAGACTGAGCAATCCAGAAGAGGTATCATAGAGTATAATGAACAATATGTGATTCATAGTCAAAACTGTGCACCACAGTTAACATGTTGTCTGACATTCCACATATCAACCTCCAATCCACTGCCTGGCTGGAAGGTCCAGTCCACCCACCCCTACACAATGACTAGTCATATATCCTAAAGCTATTTCAGCCCTGGAAACCCTCACAGGAAGAAAACTAATCACCTTGAGACCCAATACACAAGTAAACTCTGGTGAGATGGTCCTGAACTTCATCTATTTTCTTGGCTTCAAATTTGTATATCACATGGGAAGTCTATTCTGTGTATAGTCAATGGTAGAACCTTCTTAAGCTGGGTTTTCCTAGGCGCGGAAGCGGAGCACGGAGAGAGGAATGCGGAGAGGGACTCCTCTTGTCTTAGGTAATTTAATGCTACTGTTTTCCCATAAGTGGATCGGAATGCCATGTTAATCGCTTTTCCGCTCTCCGCCCTCCTCTCTCAGCGCTCCTCTTAGCCCCTAGGAAAACCCGGCTTTATTAACCTTATGAGTATTCATATTCAAAAGGAATTAAATAATTTTGTCGGCTGTTAAACAAGTTGGTTCTATGATATTCAATAGCATTAAAAAGTTATATTACCAACAAGGTGCAGCACTGTTACTTTTTTGCATTTATGGCAACAGCTAATTTGAACTTGAACTAAGCAGCAAGAAAAAGCTGTGACACACAATGAGAACACATCATACTTACATGTTCTGGTGGAAAAGTTTCCCTACCTGTAGAAGAACCAAAACAGCTGCGTAAGAGTGATACCTTGGAGAAACTGAAGAGTCATGACATTTTCAGTTTCAAGATTTTATGTTGGGGGATTTTTTAGTTGATGATTTTGTTTTGTGTAAATGGTTTCAATTTTTGTTTTTAATAGTAATTTAATTGCTGTAGAATTTTTAATCGTAACATGATTTTTTTAACTGTACGTGACACTGTAAATAAAGAAAATATCTTATTTTGTGATCCTTGGCGAAGCCACTACAGATAATCATGGTGGAAGGAAAATACATAGACGTGTGCTTTCCCGTCATATTCTGACGTCACTCGGATTGCAAAAAAAAGGTCACCTGATTGTAACCGTCAAATTAGTATGTATTTGTTTTGATTTGGTTGTTATTGTTTTTATAATAAACACATTCAACTATTTTTAAAATATTTAACCGATGATGTAAAATTGTTTCTCTGAAACAGAACCTTCTCTGTAAAAATATGTTCTTCTAAATCATCTATTTGATAGTCAATGCAGGAGTTCCACAAGGTTCAATATTGGGCCCTGTATTGTTCAATCTATACATGGCAGACATCCCTCTTCCAGAAGACGCCTCATTAGCTCTGTACGCCGACGACACTGCTATGCTGTGCCAATATTTTCCGATATCCACAAGGCCACGTATTCTCTGCAATACTCTGTGGACGTTCTCATTTTGGAAATTTCAACTAAATGTGAGACCAAAATATTTTCCTTGAAAAAACACACATTGCCACATGAAATTCAAATATATGGTAACTTTCTACCGTGGAACCCTGATGACCAGGCCATAAAATATCTTGGAGTATGGCTGGACAAAAAACTTAATTGGAACTATCACGTTAATAAAAAACGGTCCCAAGGTTATGCACGTCTTGCAAAGCTTTTCCCTTTAGTCAATAGGAAATCTACTCTGAAGCCAGCTTGTACAGTTCTAATCTACAAATCAATCATTCGGCCTTTGATTACGTATGCATCTCCTATCTATATCAAAAAACAAACTCTTCAAACTTCAAGTGATACAAAACAAAATTCGAAGAATAGCGGTGAATGCTCCCTAGTTTGTTAGAAACAGGCATATACATAAAGAGCTGGGAGTGGAGTCTATCTCGGCCTTTTGAAAAAACCACCTCCAAATTTCTGAAGTCTTTAAACAATGTTCCTGGTGCACTAGCTTTTCATCTTGGCGAAGTAACTGAGAACAGGAGGCTACGTCGAAGGCCGAAGGCTTCCTCAAGATCTATTGGATGAATGAAACCTAAAGAAGATTAAATATTTTTATCTAAATTAATTATGTTACAGGGTGTCTCAGGTCTGGGGCGAACCTACGATGTTATTATTGTTATTTTCTTGTTTATTTTGTTAATACTTCTGTGAATAATGTCATAATTGAACCAGAAATAAATGATGTAAAAAAATCTATTTTGAAAACATTATAAAAACAATGACAATCAAATCAAAACAAATACATACTAATTTGACAGTTACAATCAGGTGATCTATTGTTCGCAATCCGAGTGATGTCAGAATATGACGGAAATAGCACACCTATATGCATTTTCCTTCTACCATGACAGATAATTATTTGCAAAACCATAACAGAACCAAAAACATAGACCTCAATAAAAAGATAAGGTATTAACTTTTATAACCCATAGGATGGTCAAACTTGTAATTAAAATATGAAATCCAGAGAGTGACAAACAAATTGCACAAGCTGAAAGCGAGAAGGATAATAGTGAAAGTGCAAATAATTCAATTTAATTTTCTAGTGTTCCTAACTGATGGCAATTGCATTGCAGAGGTTGACATTTACTAGGCAGCTTGTAAATGGAGCAGAGTCTAGTGACGGCAGAGAATGGAAGGTCAGCATCGCCGCCAGGAGGGGGATCAGAATAGCTGTGAATCGTAATCTTATAATGGATCCTCGAGGTGAAAGACCGCACAGTTTCAACCCTATAATTGTCTTCCAGTTGCGATGTCGATGACATTTTTACTTTATCTATGATAGATACTAGGAAAAAACAAATCTTTGATAAAGAACATCTTTAAGATCTTTAAGGGAAACTATTTTGACTCTTGCTGACTGAAACATGGATAAAATACCTTTAATATCACAAGCTATTCACGATTTCCTCGAAAAAAAAAACAATACCTCAGTCAGATTTAATCAAGAATTAGTGTACTATAATTTAGTTAGACTATATTGTCCTACTAGGCTACCTACATAGTTTTTCAAACCGAAGGGAAAAATATCATGTCCCATCTTCTTCCTAGGACATTAAGCTCTGGATGGATTTCGCATTGCTTCAGACTAGGTAGGCTCTTCCAGTTGGTTCATATAGATTTGGGATGTGTACTTGAGTAATGAGTATCCATAATAAAAGTATTACCGTAACTATGCATGCTATATGGTAACAAAACCAAAATATCTCTGGCCTTGGGCAGAACAACAACAGTTTTTCAATCAGAGGTCCTGGCGATTGAGTGCTGTGCTAATAATATTATTAGCAAGAATCTAAGAAAGGGTAAAATCCTTATTCTCTCTGACAGCCAGGCAGCATTGAAGGCGCTGGGGTCATGTGTGACACAGTCACGAACAGTAAAAGGGTGTAAAAACACCCTCAAAAAGTTAGCAGAGCGAAACCAAGTCAAATTGTCTTGGGTTCCTGGACATTCGGGGCATGAGGGGAACAAAAAAGCCGATGCATTGGCCAGGAAGGGTGCGGAAGACCAACTGTCAGGACCAGAACCCTACTGTGGTACCCCCATAAGCTCAGGAGTAGCCAAAGTCCAAGACTGGGTTAAGGTTCAAAAGGCTCTGGCCTGGATGAACCACCCGGGTATGAGGACGTCCAAATTACTAATCGACCCCGCTGATAAAGGTTGGAAAGACTTGCTGAGCCTTAAGAAAGGGGACATTAGTCTGCTAGTAGGAGTGTTAACAGGGCACGGTCCTATCAGGAAACATCTCAGGACCATAGGGAGGTCACAGACAGACCTCTGCAGGTTCTGTGAGAACGAGGTAGAAACCTCAGAACACTTATGGCTGGACTGTCCAGCGTTGGCCTATAGAAGGCTTACATCTCTGGGGAGGTTATTCCTGGAACCAACAGAGATAAGGAAGCTGGGTGTCTTTCAGCTCCTGGGCTACTTGAGGAGCCTAGGGCTGTCAGAATGAATTAAAGGGTGCTACAAGAGGTCTCCAGGCCGAAGTAGCTAGGGGTATGCCATTACCCCAGCCCCCACAAAAAAAAAAAAAAAAAAAAAAAAAAAACTATGCATGATTTTGAGCAAAGTTTTTAACGAATTTCTCATATAGGGAATAAAACATTACCGTAGGTCTCATAAGACAAAAAAATCAAAAAAGTGTAAATTTAAAATTCCCATGTTATTCTTATGAAGAATAAATACGGTAACCCGTTGTAGTTTGCTTGTTCATAAGATATATTTTAATCAAATTCGGCAATTTTGTTAATTTTATACTAAGCTACAAAAATAATAATAATAATAATAATGAAAACACCTCATTACCTTCTCTGTAGCAGCAAACATAAGTAATGTTATTAGAATAGGAAATAAATCTGACAAATTTAAGGGAATATTTTAGTGGAAATCTAGCCAGGTGTTGTGAATAACTGAACCTTTTTAGAAAATAAGGCTTTAATAAACTTAAATTGTTACATAGTTGTCAAGGTAAACAAATCTCTAATACAAACAACAAGTAAATCAATAATTCAGCTGATTACTAAAAACAGTAATTCATAACATTCTCCCCCTCAAAATTTAAACAATGTAATCAGCGAGGTAACTTGGTGGTTTTCTTGATCTTTTCGGCCTTTCTAGAGGTTGGTTTTCTTCAGAGTCTTGTTCAGGAATGAAGTTCGGTTGATAATCATCATTTGGTTGATACTCATGGTCTTGGATATCAAATGGAGTGACATTCTGTTCTGGATTGACATTTGGATCTGGATTAATGCTCGGCTCTGGAATGACATGTGGTTGTGATTCATCTGTCACCAGTTGAGGATTTTCTTTTAGCGTTGGAAGGACTTGGTCTTCTAGTAGACTTACATCCCCCCTTGGAGAAAGGTGCTTGAGGGATACAGTTGACTTTCTTCCATCATTGTGTTTAACCAAGGCATAATGAGGGTTAGCATCCATCAGCTCTACTTCCTCTACTAAAGGATCAAATTTTGATGGCCGAACATTTCTTTTTAAGAATATCGGTCCTGGTTTCATGAGCCAAGCTGGCAGTGAAGTGCCATTGAGGGATCGCCGAGGATGAATGAAAAACCTTTCATGTGGCGTACTGTTAGTCGAAGTGCACAAAAGAGATCTTATGGAGTGCAATGCATCATTGAGTACAACTTCCCATTGTTCTACCTTTAGTGACCTGGACTTTAGAGCTAACAAGATTGCTTTCCACAATGTTCCATTGAACTTTTCAACTTGGCCATTCCCTGCCGGATTATATGGAGTCGTTTGACTGGTGGCTATCCCTCTTTCATGAAGGTAGTCTCTGAGTTCTTTTGAAAGAAAAGATGTCCCTCTATCTGAATGAATGTAGTTTGGCATTCCAAATATTGAAAATAGATTTTCTAAACAGCGAACTACTGTGCTTGAGGACATATCACTGCAGGGATATGCGAAAGGGAAGCGTGAATATTCATCGATTATAGTCAATAGATATCGATTACGTGTGCAAGATGGCAAAGGACCCTTGAAATCTACATTTAGTCGCTCAAAAGGTTTTGTGGCCTTGATAAGGTGAGCATTTGTAGTTTTGTAGAAACGAGGTTTAATCTCTGCACACATTGGGCATTTATTTGTCATTGTTTTAACATCCTCAACTGAGTATGGGAGATTTTTACTTTTTACCCAGTGGTACATCCTAGTGATACCAGGGTGGCAGAGTGACTGGTGAAGTGCAAAAAGCTTGTCATCACAATTTATGTTTGTGACAGCTCCACAAACGCGTGAAAATGCATCTGCGGTGACGTTTTCTTTGCCTGGTCTGTACTGTATGTCAAAAGAATAAGGTGACAACTCAAGACGCCATCTAGTGATTTTCTCATTCTTTATTTTACTAGTACCCATGCCGACTGTTGAACACAAACGACAAAGCCTGTTGATCGGTGATTAATAGAAAATGTCGCCCAATGAGGAAATGTCTCCACTTCTTTAGAGATTCGACTATGGCTAGGGCTTCCTTCTCAATAGAGGGATGACGTTTTTCACAATCGGTCAATGTTTTTGAAAAGAAAGCGACAGGTCTACCCTTTTGACTTAAGGTGGCAGCGATAGCAAAGTCAGATGCATCTGTTTCCACAACTAATGGAGAAAGATCATCAATCACGGTAAGTATTGATTTTCCTATGTCTTGTTTAATTTCCTGAAAAGCCAAAGCTGGCAAAGATGAGGGCAATATAGGAAAAGATTTGCAATCAATCAGAGGCCGAATCTTGTTTGAGAACTTGGGAACCCACTTTGAGTAGTGAGAAAATATTCCTAATGCACGTTTTAATTGAGATGCATTAACTGGCAATGGCAAATCTAACAAGGGTTTCAGACGCTCTGGATCTGCTTGCATAGACTGGTAGCGAATTTGATATCCTAGGATTGATATTATGTCTTGAGAAAATTTGCTCTTCTCATTGTTTAGAGTAATATTATATTTCTTAGCTACCTTTAAGAATTTATTCAGCCTTTCATCATGTTCTGACTGAGTTTTTCCGGCTACGGTTATGTCATCAATGAAAGCCCACACCCCTTCTAGTTCTTCAGTGGAAATAATCTTATCAATCGTGCGCTGAAAAGCAGACACACCATTTGTCACACCAAATGGAACCCTACAGAACTGATAAAGTTTTCCTGCTGCCTCAAATGCTGTGAAGCATTTCTCATGTTCCGATATTGGTATTTGATGGTAAGCCTCCTTTAAATCTATAGTACTGAATACTTTATTTTCTGCTATTTTACTAGCTATGTTTTCAATATTAGGCAAGGGGTAGGCATCTAATAGGGTAAACTTATTTATAGTTTGACTATAATCTATTACTAATCGCTTTTTATGAGATGAGCTTTTGGTAACAAGCACTTGTGCACGCCAGGGAGATGAACTTTCTTCAATTATACCACTTTGAAGGAGTTTTTGCACTTCAGAGTTGATGAACTTTTCATCATCATTAGAATACCTACGAGACTTAGTTGCAATGGGCTTGCAGTCAGGTGATAGATTATGAAAAAGGCATGGTGGTTCCACAGAAGCACAGGCAACATTACAAATGGACAGAGGTAACTTATCTCCTCCAAAATCTAGATTCACTGAAGAATGCAGTTTCATTATATCATGACCAACCAATATGTCAGTGCACAGATTGTCAATAACAAACAGTTGTACTCTCTCATAGTTATGGTCAGAGAACTCTAAGTTCACATTAACATAACCTTTGATGGGTGACTTTAGGTTTGTGGAAGCCATAGATACCTGTTTCCGTTCTGGAATTACATGAAAACCATTTTCAATTACCACAGCTCGGTTTATAAAACTATCGGTACTTCCAGTATCAACCAAAACTTCAACAGGTATTTTATTTGCATAACCCCGCACAACTGCTTTTGACAGTCCATTGGAGGCAGCTGCACATGAAAGCGTGGTTACTACCAAAGAAGAGGCATTAAAGGTCTTACCTTGAGTTTTCACCAACCTGCATACCTTCACAAAATGTCCCCTTTTCTTACAACCAGAGCAAGTAGCATCTTTGGCAGGACAGTCGTTTCGAGTAAAATGACGCCGGCCACCGCAGTAGAAACACTTCTGTTTAAAGTTTTTCGCTACAGCTGCTGAAGTAGGAGACTCTTCAGGATCTATATTTTCATCCAGTTGATCTGGTAGTGTTGATGAAGTGTTGCAATATGTGACTTCAATTTGGTTGGAAGATCCATATGCTTCACAGCTCTTCTGTGCAGACTCAAGTGAACGTGAAATGTCCTCAGCTTCTTTTAATGTCAAGGACGATTTTTCTAGTAGTCTTTGTCGAATATGGGGGTTCATAATTCCACTTATAAAGGCATCTCTAACGGCTTCATCTCGATAAGTATTTCCATCTATGGCACGAAAATTGCAATCCTTACTCAGAAGTTTAAGTTCTTGTAGATACTTGGCTATGTTTTCTTCCTTCTTCTGCTTGCGGTTTGCTAGCATGTGTCGAGCATAAATTTCATTCTTCTTAGGATTATAAATAGTTTGCAAAATTTCAACTGCTGACTTAAACGTGGAACATTTAGAAATATACTCGTAGACATTGTAAGAAAGAAAATTAATCAACACTTTAAGTTTCTTCTCTTCAGTAACTGCTGAGTCAGATATGAAATTTTCAAGTGTCCTGAACCAGTGTTTGAATGCTCTACTTGCAGAAGGATTTTCAGGATTAATATCAAACCTGTCTGGTTTTAAAAGTTTTTCCATTTTGATTTTGATTATTTAATTATCTTAATAAATTTAAGTTTATTAAATTTGTTGTGAATAACTGAACCTTTTTAGAAAATAAGGCTTTAATAAACTTAAATTGTTACATAGTTGTCAAGGTAAACAAATCTCTAATACAAACAACAAGTAAATAAATAATTCAGCTGATTACTAAAAACAGTAATTCATAACACCAGGTAAATGGAAATTCACTTAGTCTGCAGATTTGCTGCGGCGGGGGTATTAAATTACAAATACTGCATATTCCAATACAATACTAATCTTGGATCCCTAATCTACACTCATATTTTGACTAAAATATACACCTATGGGTCCCCATCTCAATTGCTAATGGTAATTGCAGTTGGAACCCTTTGTTTTTAAAAAGCTGTATGAACATAACAGAGAGATTACTGTCACACAGGTTTATAATTCATTCATGAAGGTAGAGAGAACAACCGAACAACTGTCATAGACTCTCCTCAGGGATTTGAGAGTGAAGTGATCAGGGCATAGCTGTGGAATATTTTAAGTGAAATGACATGTTTCAGGTCAAAAAACATTACAAAGTTTATTCGTCACAAAAATTATACGAGATTAAACAGTTGTTTATTTCTTTATTTGGGCTTCTATTTTAATATTGCCCAGCAGTAAACTAAGTAGTTTACCTACTTATGTATAGGCCTACTTCAAGAAGATAAAATTTAAGATGACCTATTTACTATTTAGCCTCAGTAGTTTACTGATCAATAAATTGTTCTATTTGGTTGTGTTGATGAACCATAAAATTATCAACTAAAGGGGTTAAGTTAATTAAATATTATGTCTTTGGTTAATTTTTAAAATTACACAATAATAGAAAAAAGTACTTTATGAAAAATATACATTAAGCTTAATAATTGAAAGTCCAAGATGTGTTCAATTACAATTTTCTCTAGAACCTTTTTTCAGTACAGTATATGCAATTTTTATCAACCCATATGAAATTTATATACCAGCATGGCCCCCACAAGGGTGGGGCTGGTGCAAAAGGGGGCCGGGCCTACTTATGTTTAATATTGTTTGTGTATTGAAGAATATTTTACATTGGATCATGGATTCAAAATTGAAATAGCCTACATATAGTTATTAAAAAATCAAAGTTAAAACTTAATATTAATTCTAGATTTTAGGTTCAGTTATGAATTAGTTAAAACTCACTTGACTTTTCAGACGTTAATAATGATTTTTGTGAAAAGAATGTTAAGAATGTTATGATTATAAAGACCATTCACCATCATACATCAAAGTAAGGTTTTTGTAATCTACGGTAGTAAAATGAAGGCAACATTGTCGATGAGGAAGGTACCGTAAACATGGACAATTTGTAGAAAACGCAGATCAATTTTTGAAAAATTATATAATATTTACAAAAAATTTTGATTATATCGAACTGTTATGTAACATTGTGAGTATTTCCATTAGTTGCATAATATTTAAGTTGACTCTTTTAAACTCATCGGAAATTATGACTGTTATTCGCTATTACATAATCCTGTAATACTTTGCAATTGCTCGATTTCGAGCAACATAAAATACACTAGTCAGAGTATTAAACACGCTAAAAAACATTTTAATTATTTAGCTCTCAACTTAGTCAAAACTTTATTATTTTTATAACTTTAATTTTATTGATTGATTGTAAGAGGGTGGACTCATGGTCCAAGCACGTCAACCGAAGCTATTGATTTGATAGTCTCAATTATTCCTTACTTAGCCTACATTGAAAAATTAATAAATGGTTGAAAAATTGCCATGTACGCATACTAGGTGAACATAGTGGAAGGGGGCCCGAGCTCGAATTTGGTTACAGGGCCCACAATCGAATGTGGGGGTCATGTAATACCAGCAATGGAGACAAATATATGTGCATTATTTTCAATTACAACGCTTTACTTTTTATAAATTTATCGTTAGTTTTTAGAGGTTAACTGTAAGAAAGGGCGAGGTCCTAAGTTCGCCTCAATAAAGAAAGATTTTCATTTCATATCATAAACACAGCTATAATATTTCTAGGTTCTAGGTGTCTATCATTGGACCTATTCGTTTATTATTGTACAGCTAATAATAAAATATTATGACACAGCCTATTATTTATTAAATTTATTATTCAATATTTACATAAACATACATATATTCTGAAAACAATATCTACTTCGCCAGATGCTTTTCAATTTAAAACACTTTGAAGTGTAATTTCTCTGTTTTACTTCACCTTAAAAATGTGCACAACAACAATAACAAACAAACAGCTGATCGATCAGCCATTTAATTTATTTACGTTGGAGGATTAACTTCTACTTCACATTTTTTCTTAAATTACCACCAATTATTGAAATGTCCAACTACATTTCATACATTATTGTTTCTGAAAGCGAAGTGTCTGTGAATTACGTCTGTTTGTTCCTAATTTTGGACTATTGTGGAAAAGAACATTCAAAGACTTTATTTTCGGAAACCAAGATCGAGTGAGAGAAGGGGTGAGTGTAGTATTGGTTGTAACTAGTTCGCCGGCGGCCTCACAGAGTGCAGTGGTGTCGTATATATCGTGTTCCACCTAAAACACCGCTAGTCGCTAGTCAGTTGTTGTTTGATGTGATGGTTGTCGGTGCCCGCGTGTGTGCATGATAACTTGCCGGCCGCCCTGCGAAAACCACGAATAAATGGGAAAGAAAGGGAAGAAGACTCGATGGAGGCGGTTACCGATTGGAGGTAAGATTAAAATACTACTAAATTAATCAAACTGAATACTAGGCTATATACACTGACCTCCCTTTTTTAATTAGGTGATTTGCATTTTCGTGGTATTTTAGGCTAGATTGAAATATTTACTATTTTAAATTCTGTAACAAATAATGTGCTATGAAGATTTCATTTGCTAGTTTAATTTTAGTGAATTAATTTTTGTACATTAAAAAAATCAATTAGCTTGCAAGGTTTGTATTGATTGATTTAGCTCCAATCTCAGGGACTTCGCAATCAGAGGTTATCAGTGTTATCTCAGTTTGTAGAGCATACGTAATTAGCTGATAAGTAGTGTTATTGTTGTTTTAGTTTCCAGAATATTATAAAATGTTGCCCAACACAGTTAATTGTGAGGAAACTAATACCATGCAATCAAGAAGAACAACAAGGCTAAATTGATGAATTATAAGCCTAAATCAAACAAATTTGCCAACGCTGTTCAACCTTTAAATTATATTTAAATATTTTTGTCATGTTTACTCTTGTTTACCTAGTAGTAACTTAAGAACATTTTAATTGCCTATCTAGTTTCAATCACGGTAACTGAATTTTTATTCGGAGTGTAGGGTAGGCCTATGTAGCTTAAAAACCTTCTGCTTAAGTTAATTCATATAGTCCTATTCCTACACCTATTGTCTTTACCGTACGTGTGTATCGCCTTGCATCTTTTAATTTTTTTACGCTGTACAAAATCATTTAGTGTTCTTACGTAACAACTAGGCCTAGCTGCTCTTAAGACTTTCTAAACTCATTTACGGGTTACTTCTTGACAACTTAGCTACAGCAGTAGTAACACGCGTGTCGTATCGTGAGTTGCGTGATTCAACACGCACGCGTTTTGCCGCTTGTCGTGGACGTCTGATTAATTCTTCCACATGACTCTTGCTTCATAATTGTGAGAACAACTTCATAGCATTGTCTCTTTGTCAACTTCTATTGTGTTGCTCAAGTTTCCCATTATTTATCAGCAATGGAAATGTTTGAAGGAGATTCCTGCCTAGAAATGTTCACTGAATAGGCTATCATAATCAAAGTTAGACTATTTTTGTGTTGATCAAAGTGTCGGCACAATAGACAATTAATTATGTAAGTTAGGCTACATTCTTAGATTAATATAAGGACTATTGCAAATTGCGATAATTTAATTTTCAAATTAGGTATGTTTTTATGTTAATTGCTATTTCTGGGCAACTTAAGTTTGGCATAATGAATTTTAATTGTTTTCCTACAAAATGACGGCGTTTAGTATCACTACTAGTAGGTAGCCTAAGTGTTGGACAGTTGTATTACAACCTCAAAAAGATACCAGCAGGTGTACCTTACTATACTTACTGCTGTGGCTACTGGTACCCTTAATGGTAGGCCTACTTGGACTCCCAAACATTTTGCATCTTACCTATTTTATTATTAATCTCACATCTTTTCTTTTTCATCTTTTCTTGTAACAGCAGTGCTCTCGTAGGCTATCGTATTCGTATATATTAGGGTTTCAGCGGAAATATTGTAGGATTTGAGCTTTTGTAGTCCTCACCTCGAATAAAATCCAACTTATTGTGCACCTCTGTAGTAAATCACATCTATTGCGTGTTTAACCTAGGTATACTGTAGTGCCTACTACATTAGGTACTGTCCTGTAACAATATGTCTCGTCATACCGTTAATTAACCCAAATGCTGTTAGTTCAAAAATTATCCTATTTAATTAATTTCAACTACCGGTAACAGTACTACATAGCCTAACTATCAAAATTTACACTACACTACACTACTGTACATAAATTGAATAGCCTACATTTTGACTGTCTAATGATTGACGCTATTTTGTACCAGCCCAGATGTTAACATAAAGACTTAGACTTGCAGAGAACTCTATTCAAATGATGAAGTTTGATCAATTTTGCGTTATATAATTGACTATTGGATACTGAAGTAGATCTATATGGACCAGTTGTTGCCAATTTTTGTATTAAAAAAGAACGTAGGCCTAGTTGTGTGAGCAAGTCACAGAATGCGCTAGTGTCTAGAATTCTTTTTTATACCTTATTTTTTGTTGCTGACCTAGTTCATGGGTCATAACTGTTGCTATATAGCTCACTATAAGTCATTCCATAAGTTTTACTTGGAAAAGATGTTTGTGTATTCGACAGAAGATCAGCGCAATCTGTCGGTAGCTCACTTCAATTACGACGATTTTGATCAACAATCTGGCTACAAATTTAACATGGGGATAGAATGTCTAATATCTTTTACGGTACAAAACTTAAATGCAATCATAAAATGATTTTATTGTTGTGTATAGTTCTAAAAGGAGACGCATCCTGTCCATGATTAATCCAAGTTATATCAGTCCAAAGATGCACGCCACTGGTATTTATAAACGTAACTTCGGGTGGTAATCCGGGAAGTCAAAATAAACAAGGCTCTTGATGCTGATTCCTGTACGTATCTCAATCTATAAACGGTTCCGTGCCTATCTGTGCGGTGTGCAATATTGTGATGTAACGGAAAGTGTACAGTTTTTTTGCGGAAGCGCATTAACTTGTCTGAGTTGTTGAAAATAACTTTGAATATAGGTATGTAAGGTTTGGTTTGAATTTAGCTTTAGCGATTGGGTTTGCTTATACATAAAAACTAAAATAGTCAACATCGGTGTTCGATTAGTTTACAAATCATGCATAACTTAAACAAGTTATATTGTATGGCAGACTTTCATAATTTTACCATACACGCTATACAATAAAATTGAAAACTGAGATTTGCTAAAATATATGTTAAGATTTGTGATAATTTGGCTGAGCCAAACCGGGAACGTGAAACCTGCCAAAGAGGTGGGAAGAATGTGATCGTGGGTCTAACCACAGAAAACATACTACTATAACCGGTCTAACTATGAAAATTAAGAACATATAGCCCACATACAATCTAATATTTTCCCCAAAAAAATAATTGTTTATCAACATGCATTTTGTGATTTTTAACTTAAGTAGGTTCCATAGAATAATATTTATGATTTTCATTTATTTATCATTGATATTTCAGGGAATATTTTATGTTTATATTTAATGCAATTTAGAATTTCTTTTGCAATCCAAGTATTTTTCAAAATAAGCTTTTTTCAGAACATAGGATCGTATTACCCTATGTCTACTGAAATTATATTAAAGTATTCTCAGACGCTAAAATACACAAGAGACTAATAATTTTCAAAACATTTGTTTATTAATACAAAATTGAGGGATAACTTACAATTATGAATCAGAAGTTAATTTGTTAACTAAATTATTGCAAACCCTCTTTGGGCTGGATATCTCCATCGATATACGAACTCCTACTAGTAGTAGTTAGTATATCGATGGATATCTCAAAATGAAATGCTACACTAATCAGAGATCCACTCCCGTCCTGTTTGGGTATCGACAATTTGTTCCGATAACCGAAGTGTCTACAGCGCACTAATTCCTTATCAGTACCAACAACTCACTGATATAAATGTCTGTAGTTTGATGTAATCTTGTCTATTCCCGCTGTGTGACTTGGGTTGACATCTTGTCGATGTTGTTACTGTCTGAGTTATTGCTATGACTGAGTAATTTTGATTACAGTACGCATTGATATACATAGACAATGTGGTGGGTTCGAATCTTCGTAGACGGTTACTTTTCTATTCTCCAATATTATCACCGGTTCAATGAGTAGGTAGTGTAGCAGGTGTGGATTGCGAATCCAATCTGATATGAAGTCCAACCCCCCAGGGCGGTATACGTTTTTGTTTTAAGCCTTTTAAGACGTACTCTCAGTTTGTAGAAGCGTCCTGTTATATCAAATAATACAGTACGGCATAGGTACATTTTACCGTTTCCTTAAAGCACATTTTAATAGTAAACAACTTTTGAATTTGGAATTATGTAATTAAAAAACGCCCTACTTTGTCTTCATATTTGTACCAACAGTTTGTTAGATTTTTATGCTAGAACCAACTTTGGTGAGAAGTATTGTCATTCAACTATTGTTATATGAATAACTTTAAAAATACATTCTGAAGAACACAAACAGTTCAGACATGATTTTGTAAAAAACATTAACAAAAAAGTTAGATTAAGCTTGGTAAAATGTACCAAGCTTAATCAAAGTTGTAGGCTAACTCATTAATATGTGACTGTTTATTTGTTTAATATTGACAATTTATTTGCTCAGTTCTCAAATCGGACCAACTACACGAATGAAAGATATAGGCCCAAGATATATATTATTTTATCTTTTTATTATTCTCAATTTGGATAAGTTTTCTTCCGTAGTTATCTTGTGTTAAGTTTTGGTTGTCATTAGACCTGGAAACTCAATATTTTGTGCGTCTAATGCAAGTTATAGCAATGTTACCATACAATAACACAGTAATATTGGTATATTCCTTAGAAACTACAGTATTGCATTGGAACGTAAGAAATGTACCTTTTTTCAGGAACTCCCGCTTGTTTTATTTCTAGTGTCCCATTTTATACTAATAAATGTCCGCCTCTCATGTCAAAAACAATTTAGCGATCCCAAATATTTATTCCAAGACTTAGAATCAACGCAATCCAGTTGATGCTACAAAGATTGCTCCATACTCGTGGACAGGTCTAAAGTCAAGAGAGCTGGCGGTATAGTGATCTCTAACTTACAGGGTAAATACCAAGAGTCCGTGTAAGTGTAAGGTGCTATTATTGGACCCATTCGATTCTCTTGTCAATAAACAGTTTTACACGGTTTAACGGTGAATGTCCCTGTTCCAAGTTTGGCGTGTTGTTTGATCTAGATTAGTCTCGTGTCACTCGCGAGTCGTTTATTAGATTCACTCCGCTCGGATATAATATTGTTTCATCTACCGATTATGCTCAACTGCTTTGAACTGTTATTTTCATGCACTGCTTTCATGGAATAGGCGTTTTATACGCTGCACTAACGTGATGTGCGTATATCCGAAGTCAATGTAATATAGGCTTGGATACCCTTGTTGCACCATTGCGAATAGTCTACTGTTTTTTTCTTAACTTTTGATTTTTTTCTTGTTCAGCTTAAAGCTCAGAATGTTCTCATTCCTTCACGTGTATAGGTGTTACAAAAATTCTTAATTTTTAGAATCTGTTCCACCCGATTTAAGGGGTGACTTCAGAATGTTTGAATGGATAAAAGGACCATTGACTTTTATCAAGGGAATTTTACTATCAAGTATTAATCATCTCCATTCATACTTGGCTTAAAATACCTACTTTCGTATGATCGCTATTTCAAAGTAAAGTATTAAAGTATTACCTGAAGTAGGCATCAAATCTATATCAACTTTACAATTTGTCAATAAAAATAACATCAAACATACAAATTAGTAAAAATAACATAGTTGAATGAGGTAATCGCAGAGTATGCAACAGTCTTAAGATTCTATTTCCGCCCAAGTTGTTGTTACTGTTTCAAGTGGAATCGTCGACCTTCTCTTATTGCTATGCACAACTTTACAACACTTGAACACTTATGTTAGTGCCAACTACACCCATCTTGTCTGTCCAAAACAATTGTTGTTGTACATTTCAGGGAAGTTAACTTCGTTTCGCATTCCCTTAATAAATAGGATGAACAGTCTCAATGCACTCTGTACGATGGTTACTCTAAATTGGTATCTTAAAAAAATATTTATTATCATTATCGTCTTAAGTGACTTTTTTAGACTCCAAAAATACATGGCTTGGGGTGGCGAACTACATTTTTCATCGTGTTGCACTATTTTTATGATAATAAATAAACACATATTGAAATTCTCACAGGTTCTACATAATTTATTTAATTAAATTATCGTGAAAATGACTTCCACCAATGGCTGTTGCCGTTGATAATTTTACTTCGTAAAACACAACAATAAATAATTCAAATTACCTACTTACATATTTTTACATCCTAGCTTGTCTAAGTGTATGTAAAGGGACTTATATTGTACCGGAGTATACATTGTGACGTAGGCCTATTGATTAACACCATGAAGTTTAGTTTCGACACATTAGTATTTTATCAATCAGGACAATTTTCTTTGACAATTTCATTTAACTTCAAAGTCAGTTTTGCCCTACAAGAACTACTTTTGCCACGCAACGTTTTTACTGTATTGAAACCTAAGTTTTCGCTGTTGTGAAACTAAAATCATTTCCGATATATTGTGTGCAATCTGCAAGACAGACAGGAACGCCTCCCCTGTCTAGTGCTGTAGGCCTACTCGCACTGTATCGACCAGCCATCTCTGTCGGACAAGTCACGCACTGTGAGGGAGTCTCAGAATTGTGCTCAGATTAAAATAACGACAACATCGCGTTGTCTGGAGACCCCATGAATAAGAGGTTATTTATATCGAGAGTAGTCAATCGGATGAACACTATAATATTACGATTGCGGTACGTTTGTTTTAGTGTGCATTCATTGAGATTTGAAATGTATCTGGTTCGTTTGGACATTATATGGCAATGGAGTTAACAACTGGAAGGATATTTGGAGTGTAGTTTGTGTTCCTAGTTTAGTTGGAGACGTTTTCCCTCTTTGGTGTAAAAATTGTTGGTAAAAAACTATTGATTGTGATAAAATGGGCGGATTCTATTTGGGTAGGTGCATGCGAATACAAGTTTCATAACCCTTTAAAAAGGAAACGCACTTTAAAATGCAGCTGAGTTTGTATGTTACAAATTTTTGTATGGTTAAAGTTTTTGTCTGAAAGTTTTAAAAGAAACATAAGTTATTAGAATTTAAATACCTTAAAAACAGAAAATAAAGATTTTATTAGTGTTTTTGTGAGGATCGGTTAGAATATGACTACTGTACTTCTTACTTATTTCACTTTGGGATAAGGGTGGTACCCCTTGATTCTTGTCCATCAGCCTTTCCGAATCCTAACTGGATACCGGTACCCACATTTTAGGCTCGTTGTCGTCTTTCTTAGCTAGAACTGGACAATCTAGTTTTGAAAAATCACTGTCTTGAACGTATGGGTTATATTGAACAGTGTTACTGAAATTAGTTAAAATCATGAAACATTTATGTATTGAAATTAATTAAGACTTAGCAATTGCCAATTATAAAGGTGTTATTAGATTTTTTTTTATTGTGATACATAAACAATCAATTCATTTTAGCAGAATTGAGTTACACAGCATGGTGATTTCCAGTGTTGTTGCCCGGAAAATCGGACGAAACGTATAAAACTCGCAATTTATTCATTAATCAACGCAGACTGTTGACAAATGTTGTGAATGTATCACAGACTGAAACAGCCGATGTAGGTTGGATGACCAGGGTAGCTGGGTAGTTAGTCATCCCGCATTAGCTTTGGTTGTAACATGTCAGGCCGTCGATCTGAATTAAATTACACCCTCTGTCTCTTGTGTTTGCTAAACAGATATACACTGAATATGCAAATGTTTCACTCGGAGCTATGTTCAGATCATGTTGAAAGGATTCTCTAAGTAAATATTAAAAGGGTGGCATTATACAGGATTTATAAAACTCATTTTTGTTCTCTGAGACTTAAAAGATTTAAGTCATTGCCTCTAGATATTTAATAGTAATAGTCTGATCAATAAAAGGCAGCAGCTTTTTTATCGGTTGAAACTAGATGCAGCTGTCTAAATGGGCTTTAAATTGTATTTTATTCAAGAAACCACTGAGAAAAAGCTAGTAAAAGCGTACCATTCTGCACTCTTATTCAGGTAAATTACGCCAATTTGCATCTCAGAATCGTGTTTCTGTCTCAAAGTAATGGAAAATGTAAATATTAACAATGCAAGTTATTTAATAGTGTTCACAAATTGTACAACAGTATAAGTACGTGAAAATCTGATTGACAGAAATCAGTTATCAAACAGTGAGAGCTGCTTTGGTAGAATATAGCAACTGGTCAAGCGAAACACCACGAGCCAATATAACATTGTTAATAGAGATAATAATATATTAAAATGAGAAAGTTAAAAGGACAATCATTGTTTTCAAACCTAACCTAAGGTTTGGCATTCCTAAATGGTCAGTTGCTTCATTGTTTTCTGCCACATTTCACATGCTGATTGTAACCCCGTCTCAAATCGCTTCTTCATGTTTTCGCATCGCTCTTCTGCTTCCTGTATTTGTTTAGTGAAAGCTACAATCTCACATTTTGCCTCATGAATTTGTTTGTCCTTTTCTTGGAGCTGGACGTTTAGGTTGTCTATCAATCGCTGTCTACTTTCTAGTTCCATTTGGTAGTTGTCTGTAGCATCCGCCAGCTTCCGCGAAGAACACGCCAGTGCTTCAAGTGCTTCGTTCTTCTCTTTCATCAAACCTGTCTTTAACTTTTCCCATTCACTTTGTTTGAGTTGGATTTGTTTTTCAATTTCGTCTAGTTTGGCTGTCTGTTCTGAAGACTGTAGACACTCTTCTTCTAAGTGATCTACTCTACACTTCAATTCTTCTTTTCTCACCTGAAGCTGTTTGATTTTAGAGAGAAACTCTTCCTTGTTTGTTTTCTCAATTGCGAGTAGTTTTTCTGTTTCAGAGAGTTTCCTTTTAAGTTCATTTATATCTGACTCCTTTTTAAGTAGATCGTTCTTTTTCTCTGATATGGTTTTTTGATGACTTTCAATTATTTTCTCCTTTATTAGTGAGGTTTCTTTCTCACTTTCTAGCTCCGAATGAACTCTAGTAAGTTCTGCGCGAAGAAAACAGGTTTGTTTAGTGTTGTCTTGGTTTTGGAAATGTGAAATCTTATTCTCGCAATCGGTTAGCCGTTGTGATTGTAGTTTAATGGTTTCATGAGTCAATTTCAGCTGTTCCTCCTTGGTATCAATGGTGTCTGATTGTCGGGCAATGAGCTCGTTTTGTTTCTTCATCATCTCCGATATATCTTCCAGTCTTGAGTGAAGTGCGTTATTCTTAGTTTCTGAGTTTTGTAAAAGCTGAGACAGTTGTGTCTGTTCATGCTTGCTTTCCTCCAAACGTCTCTGAAGATCTTCCGAATGCTGGTGACCCTGTAACATCCTTTCTGAGAGCCTTTGACAGTGTTCCATTGTTGACTTAAGTTTGTTCTCAGCAGTTGATAGTTTGTCTCTCGTTACAATCAATAAATCCCTTAATTTCCCACACAATACAGTAAGTTGCTTTATCCTCCTGCTATAATCTTCAAGACATCGATTCTTGTTGGAGATTTCTATATTTTTCATTTTAATCTCTTCCTTAAACTTTTTTACCAAACAAAGCAGGTTTTCATTTTGATCCTTGATCCAGCCTGCAGTTCTTTGCAGAGTCAAATATTCATCTCTGTCCATTAACATGTTTTGAACTGTCGTTTGCAACTGGCGTATGTTTTCTTGTGCTTCTTTATTTTTCAGTTTCTCGACTCGCAGCTCCTTAGTTAGTGTTTCGTATTTCAACGGCCACAAATACTCAGCAGATCTAAACTCATTTACACGTCTTTGTAATTCACGTTCAGCCTGTTTCAGTTTTTCCAAAGTGTCTCTTAGTTCGTCTTGCAACATTCGAATAGTATGTTCCGTCTTCTCTTGTAATTCACATTTGGTATTTTTCAATTCGTTTTTCAAACTCTTCACTTGGTTTTCCGCTCTTGCACGTTTATCTTTTTCTTCCCTCAGCTCCTTGAACAGATCATCTTCGTTGGGAGTTTTCTCCACAGGGCATTTCGAAACGTGATTGGAGTGTTGGTAGTTGTTGTTTTGATTGTTGTTTTCTTGGTGCGATGTTGCCAGTTTGGTTATCGCCTGCGTTCCCTTGCTGAGGTTGATGTTTATGTGCTGCAAGTACCTAGAGATGTCGCTGAGTGGTGCTGACGTATTCTCGGGGATGCAGCAGTAACGATGGCTGCTGCTGAACATTGTTCTGCTGCGACTTGTCAACCTGATCGTTGCGCAATTTTGTAGCTTGCTGTTGTGCACGCAGGTCAACTCTCCATAGTCTGCACGTTGTCTTTTGGTGTTCTCCTGTAAGCGTAGGAGATCGTCCAGTTCTGCTTCCAGCCTTCCAAGCCTGTCCTTCATCGAAGGACGCTCTTCAGCCATAGCATTTTCTTTTAACTGAATGATAATAGGTTAAAAGTCAACTAATTTGGCCGATAGAATGTTTGTTTACAATGAAATACAACTGGTAAATAAACTGATTGTTTACCTCATCAGCTGTCAGAGACATCTTTGGTAATCTTATGTTTGGGAAAAATAATAGAAAATTTGACACAGCTGCAGAGTCAATGTTTTGTTTTTACATGTTTTTTTTCACTACGTCACATAGGGTTGTGTTCAGTAAACTTTAACCATTCATATTATTTAACACTCTATGTTTTATTTAATGTACATCTCTTTTCCTTGCAACTAACATGTGTTCTTAATCAAATTAAATTATTCTCTATTGCTAACACATGTTGTGTATCAAAAAGTAAATAAAACAGTGCTTGTTCTCCTATCCCAAAAGTGTGTTCATTTTTTTCTCATCTTATAATCTCCATTTAATTTCATTCTCTACAAAACATTCAGGTTGATTCTATAGTAGTTTTTGCATTAGTATAGTTTGCATGTTTTTTTTATCACAAAAATCACCAATGTGTTTATTTTACTTTTCAAACGTTTATTTCGATGATCCTTTAGTGATAAATGACAAAGCGAAGGATGTTCGATGCGGTAGTGCGAGTCCTCAAACCGTCATCATCGATATTAACACTACATTCTCGCATTATGAGTCAAATGAACGATGAACACACACATTTATTCAGAGATGCCGGCAGTCGCTTATTAGACGTTCGATTGTATTCTAACTAGCGAGGTAATCGCTCAGCGTCGCGTCGTAGAGTATGAACATTGGTGAACATGATCATACACTATCACCGAATAGAGAGTGGTATCAAGTGTTGTATCAGGTATTGTGTTAATGGATTTCGTTACACTTTCATTTTTTTACAAGTTGGAGACAACTATTTTGTTCAGATTACAATCAGGGGTAGTTCATATAACAACTTTTAGCGATGCTATATTTTCGTAACCGATTTGAGCCCTTGAATTATCACCAAATCCATCTTTCTAGAATTAAAACATTTTCTCTTTCTACACAATTTGTTCAATTGTATTCATAGTTCAGATAGTAACTTAGGTGTCTTAATAAAACCTGTCTCTTGTTATAGATCAATTAGACTTGGTATTGTGAAATCGGAAGGTTTTTTACGTGTATTTTATGCTCGTTGAAATTTTCTTCAGTTGGATAGCAAATCTATCAAACAACCAAACAATGATAAACCCAGGGCAAATCAAACCTAGGATTTTTCTGTAATGATGATTTTGCTGAGCACAAATTGATAAATTCACAAACTAGTACCGTGACGGTTTGTAAAAACTCTAGCAATTTTAGTTATTAGGCCTACAAGAATTTTTCTATAAATAAAACCATAGTTTATGAGTTATTTTAGTTTTTTCAGGGATATAGAATTTTATGGTTTTGGTTAAGAAGTAAAGATCAATTTTTATGCTATGCATGTTACGAAACTAGCAGACGAAGTAGTTTTAAAGTAATTGCTTTATCACCTAATTAATAATAACTGCTTGGTACCAATTTAAAAATGCGATAAATTTTAATTGGACGCTGATTATAACCCTGCTAATTAGGTAATCTAAATCTCTTTATGATTTAAAATCAAAGTATATTGCATTTATATGGTATGCAAACATTATAGACCCAAACGTTCGCGTCATTAAAATTCTGCAATACGTTTAAAGTACGTAGGTATTTAAGTTCTACGTTGTGGAAATACTTATATAGGTTGTTATTTAGGTATACCTGGGATTTGGAAATCCTTGTCCCTTTTGTCCATTTGTTTCCCCTCACCTAGACAAGTTTTGTATGCACGGTTTTTTTTTATTATCCTTCCTCTGGTCTTTGTTTGACTTAGAATCCTCGCATTTGAGAGTCAATCTTGAAACTTGGTATGATTTATAAGTTTGTTAAAGACCATGGTCCGTTTTGAATTTTACGTTTCAAACTTTGACCATTACGGATCTTTTAACTTTACAAATCATCTGTCTAAATGAAAATGATCAAAGATCCACAGTATTTGAAAGGGGAAATAGCAGACATACGCAAAAATACAGGGATAGCTACGCAATTCTTATCATTTTTTCATATAAAATATATTTGTTTTGGTGCAATGAACTAATATATAAAACCGTACCAAAGAGTTCCAGGATTCCCTGGGTAGTGCTCGCCTTTAAATATGAAGGTTTCTGGTTCAATTTCGCAAGGAGCGATTATAGATTCAGACGCCATTTGTCATGTATATATGAAGCTAACAACAAGTCGACGTTATAATAGTATAGTAACTAGTATAGTAGATAGTAACTAGACCAGGCTTTGAACCGTTCCCTGCAACACTAAAAAAATGACGTAGAAAACACAAATAAAACTATGTATCAATTAGAAAAACGTAAATGTTGTCGTTTTTGACATTGTAACGTTAACTAACTAACGACTACAAGGATGAAGTCAACACGGTGGTCCCCCCCTTGCCCCTCTGCCCCCCTCGTCACTATCTAATTGACATTCTGGGCCTGTTTAGCAACTAGGGTCCCATTATCTGTTAGGCGAGCACTAATCGTTCGACAACACTCTACTCGAAGTTTCCTGTCTCATAATCACCACGCTAGATCTATGTCACGAGTGACTTTACGAATATTGTTAAATATTATCAGTTGTCTCATAATTACCATGCAGCTTTTTGTATCAAATTAAGTTAAAGTTTGTAAGTTGTCAAGTATTTAGATTGTTGTTTGAAAATCTAAATCTATTCAAGAGAGCGATGTATTGGATTAGCGATTAGCGGATGCACGAGACTTGGGCAGCTCGACCGTAAATTCAATTTCCTCCGTTAGCCGACGTAATGTCGTGTCCCGCACTGTAAAGCCCGGCGCTTAGTAGTTTCTAAGTTAGTCTAATGGTAAACCGAAACTTCCAATGAGAAGAGCAGTGTAAAATTTAACTTTTATGAATATAAGCCCGATGTAAACGTTTATTTGGACATTTATTTAAAGATCCATTTATTACCATTATTGTTAACATTCATTTTGAGGCTTACATAAAATTCGGTAAACTAAACTTGCAGTTGGTTCAGAGGAGTTCAATGTAAAATTCCGAGCAAATCTTGTGAGAATATATGTATATATGTATATGTATATGTGTATATGTATATGTGTATATGTATATATGTATATTGTAAGAATATTTGTAAGACTCACCAGGCTTCAAATACACCTACCTTCGTTTTCGTGGTTGGTTGATTCCGTAACATATTGGTGAACTATGACTTAAATATTACCAAAAGCTACTCTATGCCATATAGTATTGTAGACTACAATACATTTGAAGATGACACTTATAGATAGGAATATCGTTTTAAAGATCCGGGCAAATTTGGAGAAGATTTAAATATTGTTCTCTACTTTGCTTGAATCAAGAAAGAAATCAGTTATAGTATTATTTTACTTTAAATAAATTAAGATATTAAATGGAAATTGAAGCACATTACTAGTCTATTGGTAAAGTATTGCAAAATTTTAGATTTGTTATGTGAACAGTTCAACAAATCATAGGTAGGTACTGAATATTAGTACCAAATTAGTTACAACAATTTGCAGTTTGAATGTTGTATCATTATTAGGTAATAATGCATGATATTGTAATACCACCTGCAGAGTTATTGTTCTCAACAAGCGACTACAATTAATATTGTGTGTATTGCATTCGTACATGTATTGTACTATAGTGATATTAATCTAATTTATTGCTATAGAGATCTATTTGACACGTTACTATATTTAGTTACCAATTTCTCGTTCTGCAATAAACTGCCCAAGTAAAAACTGTCCATGTAGAATTGATATAAAGTAATTTATTTAGTAAAAACCAAAAACCCGTTGTACTAACTTATGATTTAGAAAACATTAAAATTTCCTTGTATATTTCCTAGTTTACACATGCTATATTGTCCCAATCGAACTTATAAAAGCTACGCTTTTTCTACTGTATTTACGAAAGCATTGTGAACTTATAACTTGTGTAAAAGCTTGTTTTGTTACATACTGTAAGCAATGTGTGGGTGTGGAATCGACTGGTTTAACATGAATTAACAAGTTGTTGAGAGTAAAATTAATTCGCTAACTTAAAAAAAGGTTTCACAGTCAGTATGCACGAGTTTAATTGACATACATGCGGAACTATATTTTTAACCTAGGAAACTAAGTCGAGATACGAGATGAATGTGAAGGGAGATGGTCTAAATACGGTTGTGAGATGCTCTTTCAGCCGCTGGCCTGGGCTCAATCGATAACGGCACAGTTTTGCCGAGTGTCGCTTCGCTAACAAGTTTAGTTCAAAAACCACACTTTTAGGCCGTCTCGTCTCTATGCGGGGCTTCACCGGTCACACTCACACATATACAGCACTTCATTCATCTGTCAATGTGTAGTACTACACTACTATGGTCACGTGACTACTAGTGCATGGCTGCAGTTATATAAGTGCACCGCCGTACGCCACGTCCCGGTTTTCCTAAAGCACACTGCACACTGAGCTCTCAATCAGCATCAATCAAAATTTTTAACAATAATGGTCCGGTTCCCGGTTTGATTACTCGATGGCGCGACCGCTACCTACAACGAACCCAGAAATGTCTGGAAGTCGTGGATTTGCGTCTCGGAGCCGTCTTAAAAAATCTGCTCTACTCCTGGTGGAAATTAGGTACTCCTGCTGACTGGATAAAGCAAAGACCAGATTAATAAGGATTTGTTGGAAGATCAATGTTTTTTGTCGTTTCCTTACAACAAACGTTATTTGACTTTTACTAGCGTTATTAATTAAAGATATACAATGGTTTAATCGTACATTTCCCAGTGAGGGAATGCTTTCATTGGCTAACAGCTGACCACCATTTATGATTCTTGGTGAAAATAGGTGGAAATGCCGTTTACACACCAAACTACACTCGAGATGAAATAAAAAGGTACAAAAGG